CTCTGAGTTTTGTTTGTGGGTGCGAGACGCCAGAAGCATGCCGTGGATCAGTACAGGGCGCTCTGAGATTAGAGCGGGGGCAGATCTGGCAGCTTCTGAGCTGCGTGGCGCCAGACAGGTCGTGCGCAGACAGGTTCAACTATTTGCAAGACTTGCTGCTCAAAGGCAAGGAGTTTGAGTGGTTACTGAGGCCGTACGCTGCCTCCTGCTCAGACATTAGTCAATACTGAGTGAGAGACCTGCCGTGAATGAATGAATGAATGTATGTATGCAAAGACATATAGATGTAGATATGCTAAGATACGTATTGTCAACACATACATACTTGTTTCTCTACATTTATTTATATAATTTATAAAAAAAAAATGCATGTATGTATAGATATGCGTAGATATATAGAGAGAGATAGAGAGAGAGCGAGAGAGAGAGAGAGAGAGAGAGAGAGAGAGAGAGATTGCCGAAGATCCTTATTATCAAAACTCTGCAAACGATCACCCAATTGTCTGAGCCCCAGTATGCTTCGAATGGGGAGCAGGACTTTTCTCAGGAGGCAGATCATCTGGTGTCTCTTCCATTGCAGGGTTTAGGGCTTATGGTTTAGGGTTTAGTGCTCAAGGGCTCAGGGTTTAGGCCTGTGCACGGTTAGTTTTGCCTGGTCGGAGAGTGGCAGCGGAATACATGCAACAAATGTAGCACACGGGAAGACTCATATGAACAGTGCCAACCGCAGACCCGAAACCGTATCAACTATTTACTGGGCATGGAGGGCCTTCTTCTGGATCAAGACGCCGTGGAAGGTTCCCTAAACCCGAAACCAAAACCCTAAGCCCTAAACCTTAGCGGCCCCAAGCTGTGAGGCCCTGCCGCTGCTTCGAAATCTAAAAGCACCAAACCGCAAAGATCCCAAGGCCTCAGGCCAAGGCCTCAGGCCAAGGCCTCAGGCCAAGGTGCAAATGGAAACAATCATAGCAATCAGGAAACGAACAAGACTAGGGGTAATAAGTTACTAGCATACTAGTATCAACTGTAATATTGACAACGCAGAACAAGGAGAACTGAAATGAACACCCCCGCAAACTCGAAAGCACAAGAAGCCCCCGTCCCGGACCCTTCAGGGTTTAGGGTTTAGCTTTACTATGATCTTGGAATCCAGACCGTTTGGTCCAAACCCCCAAGCGCCCATACTTCTAATATAGAGAAAACCTGGCATTTGTCAGGATTCCCATGCCCGTGGCCGAGCAGTTTGTAGTCACGTACTTGCATCTTCCAGAAATTTGGTAATTAGAGCTGTGGGTGCATATACGGCATTGCAGAATCGCACCCATCAAATCCCAGTCGCTGATCCTCAAAATCTTCAACCTCCAACCCTGCGAAGCACCGAAACCATAAACCTAACCGGCCCTAACCATAAAGCCCTCTCAACAAGCCCAGGCTGCCATCTTGTCGACGAATGGCATGGGACTCGCATCTGTTCCGCAACAGAGCTTTTGCTTCAGGGCTTCAAAGTTGGGGCCAGGCTTCCCGAGACCAGTTGCCAGATATAGAAAAAAGGATAGGTAGATAGATAGATAGATAGATAAGTTGATGGATAGATAGGAAGGTAGATAAGTAGATAGGTAGATTGATCTAGATGGGTAGGTAGATAGATATAGTGTAGGGAGCCTTGTCACGTAGTGGCAATGTTTTGTAGGTTGTGATGATGTTTCTAATGTTTGGCGATTCACGTGTTTTTTGGCAGTTTCCGAGAAGAAGGTGGACCCTCCAGAAACAGACAGATGCATGGCAGGAACCCTCCGATTTGAACCACCAGCTTGGGGCCGTTAATTTTCAGAATACCGTTTGTATTTGCAGCATGGTGCACCCCACTCCCTAGCCACCCGAAACCCTAAGCCCTAAAACCTAAACCAACCAAGCCAGCCAACCTCTTGCGGCCCTACACCTGGAAACCCGCTGCCAAATCCTCTGACTTTGAGGTGTCGGGACAACGGAAAAAGAGCCTCCCATAGAGTTTTTGGGTTTACGGTCAAGGGTCAAAGGGGTTTCGGGGTGAGGCACAAGGAGTATCGGGGCTTAAGGTTTAGCGCTTCGGGTTTCAACAGGGCTTGAACCTAAATCGTGCCAAGACCATATAGCATCTCCCCGCTCGTAGCGCTTGAGACCCTAAACCCTAAACAAAAAGAGCCCTAAACCCTCAACCCCAGGTGGTGGACGGCCGGGTGATGCTCGTCAGACTCGAGGGGCGGCAGATCCACTTCGATTCCGAGGTCGGAGGTGTCGTGATGACTTATTGTAGCCGGCCGGGGCTTGGGGGTTTAGGGTTAGGGCGGTTTAGGGTTTAGGGGGTTCGGAGTTTAGGGGTTTAGTTTAGGGTTGAGGATGTAATCATGGTCGTGGTTTGTCCATAACTCTGCCGGCCGCTTATTGCTCGTCCGCCCTCGTTGTTCTGCCCTCCTGCCTGTCTGCCATTTCCTGCAAAGCGGCACGGAGCCGTAAAGCCCCAAAACCGCCCAAAATCCTCGACCCCGACGAACGAACCCCTTGAAGCCCCAAGGCCACAAGCCTGTTAAGGCCCTTAACCCTGTGCTAAACCTACCTTCCCCGTTCCCCCCGCCAACTTCCCTTGCAGAGCTGCCCTGCAATCTGAAACCCACAGTTTTGGGGGTGGGACTCGTTCTCCCACCCTTGGGAGTCGTTTGGGGCAACTTGGGAGCCGAAGTGGCGAACCGGTGCTGCTAGGGTTTAGGCTTTATTTAGGGCGAGAGATCCTTCACTGTCTGAGGTTTAAGTCGGTGCGGGCTTCAACATTCACGTTTACGATTTAGAGGCTCAGTTCTTCGGGCTCGGTGTGTGTTTGAGGCTTTGTGTTTCAGACTTCCTCTTCGGGGAGCCTGAAGTATCGAACACCAAGGAACTCAAAATCCAACCTGAAGATTCGGTCCCGTCCCGTTAGGTTTAGGCTTTAGGGTTTCGGGAACCTATCTCAACCTAAGATGGAAGCTTAAATAATTACCAGCATGACTCCTTCGGGTTCCTGCAGTCTCCTGATATAGAAATGAAGACCCATATGTTAAATTTCCTGAACCCTGGGGCTTCCTGTAGGCTTTCAGGTTCAACTCCCAAACTTCCTGACCCAAGCCTGGGCTTAGGGTTTAGAGGCTGCTCCGTCAGGCGTTCTCACTCCAAGAGATGGCCTTGCAACTAGATGGACGAGCTTTCCCTGCCTGAGTTTGGGTCTGGGTTATCTGCCAGCTGGCACGACGAATAGAGGAGCTTGGATTAGTCGTGCTCTTTCTAGAAAAGGCTTCTTTAAGGCCCTTTCAAGCACCTGTTAACGGTTCCTGAAGGGCTTTGGGAGTATGCAAGGGTTCTGTAATATGACGTTTCAGGACTTCTAGGGGATTGTACAAGGTTTCTACAGTATAAGTTCTAATATGAGCCAGCATCTATCACTTTTCGTAGGACATCTCCCCTCCAGACAAGGGTTCTTGAGCAGAAGTGCTCTGGTTGAAACGAGCCTCCGGGCCTTCACGAAAAGCTCATGATTGAATGTATCTTGGATCTGGCCGTTTGATTCAGGGTTTCGGGGTGGAGCTGAAGGAGTAGCACTGCAGACCCCTGATTCAAAGGCCCCCTTAGGCGATTCACCTTCGGATCCCTGCTATACCCCTTACAAAGGGAGCGTGTATTGATTCATCAGGGTCGTCAGTCAACTCTAGCACCGAAACTGTGCTACACTCCAGAACGAAATTTCAATTTCTAAGGCCCGATCTTGTATTCCCGACCGTAAAGCAGGCTCAGGCAAGCGGTCTGGGGGGTTCTCAAAGACCCTGGTCCATAAACCCAGCGATTGACAGGTTCAGGGCTCTAAAACTCTGGTCCCTGGCTGGTCGGCACTCTTGGTCCCTGGCTGGTTGGCTTTATGGCGTAGACACCTAGGTAAAGCAATGAATTCCAACAAGGCATTGCACAATACCCCTTCAGACCCCAAAAATAAAAACACGCACAAGCTATAAACAAGAGAAGTCGCATCACCACTACCTTACTTGCATAATCCTTGGACCCGACTTAAACTTATCATTACTTGGGCCCCATGGTATCCTAAGACCTGCAGTTTTACACCGAACACCCTAATTAGACTAAGCTGAAGCCTTAAACCCCAAAACCCTGAATCCGAACTTCCGTCAATATGGACCCCATTATTCAAACCCCAAAACCCTAACTCTGTCAAAGCCCTACAAGCCCGCTTAAAAAATCACCCTTGTAAAGCCGTGCCAAATGACCGCGCCGAAGCCAGGTCTTGAGCCTCCTCGTTGAGAGCCATACTCGAGGACGACGAGCTGGGGTTGATTCTGATTGTTTTGCGGTTTTTATGCTTATTGCTACAACGTAGTAGATGTACTGATATCACAGTTAATTTCTAGAAACAAAATAGCTCGTCTGCTGTTCGCAGTAGTAGTAGTAGTAGTAGAAGCATGAGAAACATGTCGGGGTTATCACAGCCATGATCGCAGTATGAGCTATCCACAGACTGCTATGCAGCTCCCTACTTGTTATGTACATTCGTGGCAGCACTAGGCTCTGGATTGAGCTGCGTGGTACGAGAGAACAGACTTGTTCCCAGACGAAGTTGCCTTTCGGGTACTGGGTGTAGCGGTCGACAGCAGCCGGGTGAACTTGGCGGAGCAGGCTAGCTCCGAAACACTTAAGTCCCCCATTCTCTGGGCTTCAGACAGATTAGGAGCCCGAACAAAAGCCTAGACGGTAGAGCTCCAAAGCCCTGCCAGTAGTTATGGTGTTACCTTGGGGATAAGTGGTTTCAAAAGCTCGAGGACATAATTACCATTCAAGCCTGCATCGGTGGAGTGGGGTGGATGGGCAGCGGTTCCTTTGGAAGCGACCTACGCTGACATTTGTCTGCGCGACAAGCTGGGTGCTTACGCATGCCTTGACCAGCGAAGGAGGGCCCTTCAAACCCTAAACCCTAAACTCCGCTTGCATCGTGGAGGCTGCCGCAGCTTCCACATCGAACTCGACGATGCCGGAGATGCCGTCGAACTCGCGTTGACTCTAAAGGCACGTTGCTCGGGCTCAGGGTTTAGGGTTTAGGGTTTAGGGGCCTTTTGGGAGTACGAAGTAGAAGGGTTACTAGAGGGGTTTCTTATATAGAAGTGTCCGGATTGCAGCAGGTCTCACTCAGTATCGAGCGTTCTGAATCCTGTTGCCTTGGAAGCTGACAAGCGTATGATTGCTTTGGGCTGTTCGGAGGTGGTTTCGGGTTGTCGGCTCGAGCGCTTTCCCAGGCTTTTTTTAATGGGTTCATGGCTTCCAAGGCTCTACTCTTTCACAGAGTGTCAGCTGCTTCTTCAACCTGAAGCCCTTGTAGCTTTCAAGCCCACAGAATAATATGGGTTTAGGGTTTTGGGAATACCTGATGTTGGGCTTGGGGTTCGAATGCGTTGGGGCCGTCGGGGTTTAGGCCCTCGGATTCCGCGTCAAGTTCAAGCCACTAGCGGATTCAGCACTCAGAAGTCAGTGAGTACACGAAGGGATGTAGCAAAGACGAGTTCATGATTTCCAGTATGCTTCGCGGTATACAGTAGCACAAACTACAAACTGCAGTCTCGAGTAGTAGTGTCTTTGGGGTCTAGATTGCTGCCTGTGACCCCCAACCCTAGAAAATAGTAGGTTATGACCCCTTACTTAGAGAGTAGACCCCTGAAAACGGTAGGGTTTTTGGATCCCCAACTTAAAATCTCAGTCTGAATCCACGCAGCCCCAAGACATCCCACGCCGCTTAAAACATGCCACAGCCCTGAGCTTCCAACGCCTGAACTCCAAGTATGTAAGATTATATACATATATATATATATATATATATATATTTATGAACTGTATGTTCTAGTCTGAATCAATCAATCAACAAACCAATAAATGTGCAATATATACAGTAAATATGCACAATCTATATATATATATATGTATATATATATATATGTATGTGTATATATATATACACATATACACATACAGAAAATTACGCAAATTTACACATATAGAATATTTATATGTATATAGAGATAGTATAAGCTGGTAGTGCTCCATACAACTATCATGCTAGAGTATACACAAAACCTTATTCTAGTTTTTAGGGCCCCCGTCTGCGGGGTTGGGCTTCCTTGGGCTCGAATTAAATGATTTCTAAATGAATTCTTAGTGGATAAATACAACTGGCTTAGTAGGGCGCTGTGCAAGGCTGAAGGGAGCTGAGGATGAAAGGGGGGAGGTGAACACGCGGGTGAGGGCGAGTGGGGGCGGAGAAGGGCGGAATGGGGCGCTGGGGGGGCTGGGGGGTTGGGCTTGCCTTGGGCTCGAATTAAGCTTAGGGCGCTGTGCAGGGAGCTGGTGATGAAAGGGGGGGGTGAAGACGCAGGCAGGTGAGGGCGAGCAGGGCGGAGGGGGGCGCAGAAGGGCAAGGGCGCTGGGGGGGATGGGGGGTTGGGCCTGCCTTGGGCTATTTAGTAGATGCTTTACATGTCGAGCAACACTTGTCATGCAGTTTCAGACGGCTTGAACGGCTGCAGCGACTAACTGCAACTAATAAGGACTAATAGCCCTGACGGGTCCTATGGGGCCGGCTTTGTGTTTGCGGGTTCGGCGAAACGTTTGAAGGATTCAGAGCTTTGGGTTTATACGCAGTGAAACCCGGGCTGCATGTTGATTCAAGATTGTTGCTGCGGGCCAGAAGGTACTGCGAGCAGAAGCAGACACGGGAGCTGGTGTGGGATGGCTGATAGACAGGCAGGGTCAGCGTGTGTCTCACGGCTGTATAACTGAACTATGTTGAACTGTATGTTATATGTATGTATGCATGCATGTATGTATGTGCATACGCATCAGTTCTGTAGATACATAGCCAATTAGATAGATAGATAAGTAAGTAGGCAGGTAAATAGACAGATGGATAGATAAATTAGTAGTTAGGCAGGCAGACAGACAGACAGCTAGATGCTACCAGGTGGGATATGTTCCATGTTCACTGTCAACTATGCAACAAACAACACATGCAGGCAGACATGAGTGTGTGTGCGTGTATGTATACATATATATATATATACAGGGACTGCAATGTGACACCATTCCTGACCCTTCGAAATCTTCATGATCTCCCGACCCTCCTTCCAAAAGTCCTAGGGTAGGGCCCTTAATAATTAGAATGGTGTGTTTTCAGTTCTTTTTGCAGTAGAATCACATTAAAGTCTTGGGAATAATGTAGCATAAACATATTCAGGAACCGGAAAGCACAAGCCCAAAGCGTCTAAACATCCCCAGACCCTACTAAAGCCTGAAGCTCCTCATTGTTCCTGATGGCTAAGCCAAGTCTACAGAGTCTACGAATACAAGTAATGCAAGTATTCCTGTCAGTCCCTTTATAAGACAAGACTACCAATCCCTCTAAAAGGCTAGTCTCTAGCATGTCGGACAAAGCGTTCGGAACAATGTTGCTACAGAGTTTTAGGGTTTAGGTGTTCAGGGTTCAGTGTTTGCCGCCGTCGGGCTTTCGGGTGTGATTCATGACGGTTTTACCAACAATGCTTTCACATTCGCTGTCTGATAGGCGGCCAGACACACCATATCGGATTTGGGTTGCCAATATTGTTTCAAAACGTTCGGCTTACTCTAACTGTTAAGGCCTTTCACTTTGGGAAAGACTGGCCGCACATGCATGGCCCTTCTTGAAATGTTGGATTCCAGTTAGTTCAGGGATCTGCATCGGGAGTAGAGTGACGCTGTGGGGTTCTGGGCATGTAGTAGGTTCGGGCTGTGGGCCCATGCCACCCCATGAACTGTCCTTGGCAAAAAAAAATTCATTGATTTTCCTTGGAACAGCAAGGTTCATCTGCAATCGATTTTCCAAAACCGTCAACTCCCCACGCTGTGCTTGTCGGTTCCGCTTCAAAGCGACACCCGAAAACCTTCTAATTTCGCAGAGGCCCCTCGACCAGTTGTGGCGTCCAACGCCAGCCGAGTGATCCTGCGTTCACCGAAAAGCGGTGTCCTGAATCTAGGGATCTTATTTGCGCCATTTATATGTTTCAGGACTTCGTTGTTACAGGTTTGAAAGGTTTGTGATATAGGACGCTCCCTTATGGCTTCAAAAAAGAAAGCCCGAAATATCCAAACAACTGAGCCATCAAGCTCGTTAGATCCAGGGCAATCGATATTCATACTATTTTTTTAGATTTTTCAATAGAAATCAGAAAACATACGAAATATTCTTAGACGAATCGAATGAATATTTGAAGCGTGCAGTTCGACTATCCGAAATCCCCCGTTATAGATTACAGCATTTCATAAAATAGATATACAGGTTGTATTTAATATTCAATATTTTAGTTGTTTCAAATTTCTCGAGTAATCGGTGGAATTATATTGCGGTTCTGTATTTTGGGAAAGGTTGGTCGCATATGCATGGCCCTTCTTTAGTTCAGGGGTCTGGATTTCGAGCAAAGGAGAATGCTATGAGGTTTTATGAATTGAATTCGGATTGTTATTTCTACTCTCTAAAACGCTGTTGTCAAACTAGTCCTATACGGTATAGCACGCTTCGAGGCAATTAGGCTCTAAAATTTTCGGGAAATTTCTAGATTTCGGCGATTAAATCGATTTGGTCTGCCCGGGATTTAAAATTTCCGGAAAATTTAGAAGTTCGAGCTGCAGCTTTAAGAGGGCAGGGCCTTTTTAATGGTCTCGGACTAGGTCTAGTCTTTTAATTTTTTGGAAAAATTTGGGGATGCGGGTGACTCGACGTCTCGGTCTCGAAATTTAGTTTTCTAAAAATTTCGACATCGAAAATTTAAAAAAACGAATGCAACTTCTTCTGATGAGTTATGTTCTAAATGTAGAATAGCTATTTTATAGTCTTGAATTGGAATATTATGCCTCATCTATTTATAGGTTATCGATTATATGGATTTTCACATATAGTGTTATTGATGATAGCTTGCACGCGAAAGTTTAGTATTTATCTGTCTATCCGTCCGTCCATCGGTTTGATTATCTATTTATCTATTTGTCTCTCTCGCTCTATCTCTCTATTTGTCTCTCTCTCTCTATCTCTCTCTCTGGCTCTCGGTTTATCTCGTTTTCTCTATCTCTTTATTTGTCTCTTTCTCTGTCTCTCTCTCGTCTCTCTCTCTCTGTCTGTCTCTCTCTCTCTCTCTTTATTTTTCTCTCTCTATTTTTTTTATTTCTTTGATTCTCTATCTTTCTTTCACTCTCTCTTTTTCTCTATTTTTCTTTCTCTTTATTTAATTCTTCCTCTATCTTTCTCTTTCTATTTCTCTCTCTCTATTTTTTCTTTTCTTTGTTTTTGTCTATTTAATTGATTCTCTGATATAATTTATCTATAAAATATTATGTTGGCTCTACGCGTTTTATGGGTGTAGTACGCTTCGGGGCGCTGAGATTTCTTTATTTTGCGCGGGTTTGTAAGGTACGGCGGCGTTTTTAGTCGGCTCGGCTGATCTAGGGCCTAAACTATCGTCAAAATTTAAAAGTTCCGGCTATAATTTTACGTGATGGGCTTCTTCGAAAATTTTTTTTAAATTTTTGAGAAATTTTAGGGATCTGGGTAGTTCGACACCTCTATCTCGAAATTTATGAAGAAAATTCAATTATTATTTTTCTATATTTTGAAATAAGCCCATTGAAGCGCCAACAGCTGATGGCAAATGGATGCTACGATAATAATTTTTGCGCTAAGACTGCAGAAGGCATAGGACACTATATGGCTTAGTCTTTGATTTGCGAGGCTTCGCGCACAATGGTTTTTGGTCTGAGCGAATGGGGAAGCCGCTCCGGAAATATTTTTCGGAACCTTCCCGCAATCCGCTCCCGAAATTGCGCGGGAGCCTGGCGCGCTATCATGATAACCAGCTGGTGTAAGCCATCCTTGCGGTCCTGGGGGGACCAGCGGTCGTTTTGCTGGGGCCATTGGTGGTACGTTCACCTTCATGTCTAAGCCGCTTCCTGGCCTTGTCGGGAGAGGCACGCCCTGAGCCCAGGTCCTGCTGGAAGCCGCGTGCTCGGCTGGGCTGCTGTCCTTTCCTTGTTGGGGGCGCGTCCTGGGCCTTGCTGTCGGCCTTGTTGTCGCCCTTTTGGGGCCATGATGGGCAAGAGCTTAGCGAGCTGCCCGACAGCCAAGCCGTGCACTGCAGCGCCAAGCGAGGCGGCAAAGCCCCAGACGAGGGAATCTGGACAAGGAGCATCCACAAGAAGTATGAGGACCATAAGAACAAGTTTGCCAAAGGCGAAGCAAGAAGCGGCTCCCCCTCGCCGCGTCAGCGTTTCCAACGATCCAGTTCCAGCATGGCGGCCACTGGATAAGGTTTTGTGACGTGGTGCGCGATTGGTGTGGTCAGCGGAAGCACAAGAAACTTAGAGAAAAGTTGTGAAATTCACATGGCAATGTTGCTGCAGCTCGGGCGAAGATGTGTAAGTCCTGCCTTGTGCTTTTTCCGTTTTGCGTTGACACAAGTGGAAGTCGCACCTTGCTGCATATCAGTTGGGACACCCAACGCATGCAAAGCTTGTGCCTGTGTCTCCCTCTGCGCCACAGGCTTGAAGACCGCCATATTTTTTTTTAAAAAAGTCCTGGAAAAATTGCTTAGCAACCTGCCTTTCTCGCGAACAGTGCAGCAAAGATATTGCAGCAAAGATCGGGTCGCAGACTCCCAACAAGACGTGCTTGTGCAGTGCTGGGACTGTCCTGTTATAAGAAACGTTTTTTCAATGCGAACTCGGTGTACACGCTTCCTCTAGTTCCAATTTTCTTGAAGCGAATATAGATGTGACGGCAGACGCTGGAAATAGCAACAGTGGGTATGCACCAAATCATGCGTGTTGCCCGCCAATCTATGTACTACACTAATCACCACCACGACAATCATCATCACCACCATCATCATCATCACCAACCATCCTCGCGAAACATTTCTGCAGAAGCCAACACATGCTTGCGGGTCCCATAGCTGCAGCACTTGCCGTCTCAAAAGACCGCTTGCTTGCATCGAGGTCGCTTTTTTCTTTACACCGACAAATGTTATACAGACCATACGCGGGCTGCGCTTCTTTGTTATAAACACAAGCCTGGAACTGTGGAAACGATGGGATTTCCGCGCAAGATGTTGCTGGAGCAGGGACCGCCGTGCAGATTGTTCGTG